CCCCAAAACCCCAAAACCCCAAAACCCCAAAACCCCAAAACCCCACTCTCATCCTAATACATTGAAGCTTTCATTATAAAATTATAATACCAGGTAAGATGAAAGATTGAGAAGACGAGCCTCAGAGCCAAAATATTGATAAAGGCATGAGCAAGTCTCAAACACCAGTGAAAGAGAAGAGTCTAAACCAGTCAGGAATTCTCACCCAGGAAAAGTCAGCAAAGATCAAATCTCCAAGCAAAAAGATAACCTTGGAAACAACCGGAAATCCAAATGGCACCTCAGATCTCGAAGATAGTAAAGCTTCAGATGCTTTTTGGAAATAAAAGAGATGACAAAAGGCTTAAGAAGGCTGTCAGCAAGTACCACAAGCAAGGGTTCTCCCGGATCGCTCAAGAAGTTGGTCGTACGAATAGCGAGTGTCGGGCTCGCTATCACATTCTCCAGAAGCGCATCCAGGATAAGAAAATTAAGAAATCCAAAAATCTAAGCCTTAAAATCAATCGTATCAACAAAGCTCCCTTAAAAGACTCTGATCTGGAAAATTACCTGAAGGATCAAAATAAGGTTTCAATTGATAAGTCAACAAATGACAAACTACTCCAAAAATCAAAGGGCAAATCTCCAGAAAAATCTGAAGAGACAAAAGAGGCCGTCCAAAAGAAACCCTCTGGAGAGAAAATCCCTGCTTCGATCTCCGGCATGAAGAAGGTAGTCATCAGGAACAAAAAGAAGGAGAAACCTCTCAAAGTGAAGAAGCCTCAGCCCAAGAAGAACAAAAGGAAAAAGGTTTCAAAAAGAGTCCAAAGGAACGAAATGATTAAGCAAGAAGAACTCAACCCTATCATGGAGATGATCAATGGTAATAAGAAGTCTGATCAGGAAAATGAGGATCAGGAGCCTCAGGAGGTTCATGAAGAGCAGAAGAATACTGAAGAGATTGACCTAAATGCATCTCTCAATAAGATCCTAACTGAAAACGGCAACACAAGAATTAAGCGTAAGTGAAGGAAATTTTTGTACCAGCTTCGGAACCAAATTTCATTATGACAATTTTAATCACCTTCTTTAAATTACCAAATTATACTCATGTTTAATAGAAGAAGTAGACGATTTTAACCCAGCAGTAAAGCTTTCTTATAAGTCAAAGCCCGAAGAAGAGAAGAAGTACCCAAGCCTGCAAACCTTATTCAATAAGAATACCTCTGGAGCACCTGTTATTAATGAGGAGAAGCAGTCAGATTCGTCCCTTGTTTCTGGAAAATTACCAAGTTTGAATAATATTATCGATACTTGTAACAAAGATCATATTTCACTCGATGAGCCCATGACACCTGTACTTGCTTCACAAGAGCAGACAATCTCAAAGGAGATTGTTGACAACAATAAGGCCCAGGAATCTCTTGAGCTGCTAAACAGAAGGTTGTCTTCAAACCCTCCTCCAATTGATCAAGAAATGCCACCAAGTACAAATCTTGAATCCAGCAACAACCAGAGTAATGAAAAGAGAATGTTGTTTGGCTCTCCAAGAGTTGATAGTGGCATCGTCTCAGGGTCCTCGCCCAATGGTCTACAAGGCAACCTCCAAAGTTTTAGAAGTGTTAAGCAAGAAGTGTTGCAGCCAACCAACAGTAAGCACTTTCATTTGCAAAATTCTTATAAATAGGTATGGCCAACAGCAATTACTGAAATCAGCCTGTTAGTATGCCTGAGCAACAACAAGCAAATCTTCCTGAGATGCATCAGGCTGTTTCATCTATCAGCCAAAACAATATGATAAGAATCCCTAACCTCAATAATGGGGAGGAAGACCCAGACTATGAGCTGTATGGTTTTGTCTACAAAATCAAAGTCCATGAAGTTCCTTCATCAAGAGGATGATCATTCAAGAGGTTGAAAAGGATCGAATTACTATACAACGACCAGCAAAATCGTCTTGAAAATATTCCTTTCACTCACGAAGTGGGAAGGAATGGCCACAATGCCAACCCTCCCATGGTGACAGTTTATCCTTTACCGACTCCAAACGGTATGTAAACTACTTATTATTGTTGAATTAGTCTTTTGGGTAGTTATAACCTTCCAAATAGAGTCAGATGATCATGAAGATAGGGATTTTTACCAGCATTTCTCCCAGATCCTCTCCCATTTATCCATGAACTCTTCTATATATGAAAGGGCAAGACTGATATTCGACTAGAGAAATAGCAAGTCTATCAATAAACTGCTTTACCTGACTAACTTACATTTCAAATAAGTAAAAATCATAAGGGGTTTTGGGGTTTTGGGGTTTTGGGGTTTTGGGGTTTTGGGGTTTTGGGG